TCACATGCTCTTTAAAATCAATACTTTGTGTTTGCTTGATGTTATGTTTGGCGAATTAAAGGGAAAACTCGGTTTAATTTAGGTCTTGTGGTTTCTTTAAGGTCAAATGTCTGTCTCAGAGAAAGAATATGATATTTAGGCCTTTATGCAAATTGGAGGCTGTAAGACAAACCAAAGTCCTTGGGTTTTCTCAAAACAGGATGTCGCATATTGTTTTTTCATAATTCAATAAAAAAGCTCAGTTGTCAGCATAAAAGTTAATCCGCAGAGTGTGGATATTTAAAAGAGCGTTGGAATGAGCGTTTTGAGGAATTAATTTGCCCAAATTATGTTGTGCTTTCACGTGCTGTACAGCAATATCAGCATCGCAGAGCGCGCATTAAACAGTTCCCGTCAATTATGCTGGGCTCTGAATGAAGCGGAGGGTTCCTTTTGTTAGAAATTACTATTTCCTAAACTGCTTTTGCAGAGAAGCAATGAAACACTTTTAGACTTGGAATGTTTAAAAAGCTGCTCTTGCCAGTGACTGATTTTGAGCCAGTTCCAATGCTCATAAGTACAGGGACTCAGAGAATAAGGCAAAGAGGGGACCGGTCCATTCGTGAGTCTGCGTTCCTGCTGCCTCACCGCCCAGGGCTGTTTTGGTCACTGCTGGTTCATTTGACATGGCAAGATGACATGAGCCTGGCCACGGGTCTTTTGAGAATCATTTGGAGTTTTACATAAGGGGTTTCCAGGGCAACCACAGTGCTACACTCTGGTTTTGAGCACCTAACAAAAACAAAACTGGTTGCTCCTTTTACAGTAGTGGAGAGATCTTGTATTTCTCAGGTAGAGTCACAGGAAAAAAAAAGGTCTTTCTCCCCCCCCCCCCCCCATCCTTTGGATAGTTATATCTTAAAACGACAAAACAAAGGGCAACAGACATTGCAATACCTCAAACATGAATGAGGAGGGGGCTAGGAAATACTCCCAGGTGCGCTGTATGACACTGGCTGTTGTGTCCTCTTACCCATGACTTTGCCTTTTTCCATCTCAAGGACCTGTGGCCAACTGTAGTCTAAACATTTTAAATGAAACATTGCAGAAATAAACAATTTGCAGGGTTTACGCTGTTTGCTGTTCCAAGTAGTGTGATAAAAGCCTCACACCTTGTCCTGTCTGGGATGCGAATCTCCCTTCCGTTCAGCTTAGCTACACAGTATAGCTGCCTTCCGCCACGAGCAGTCTTCATGGCTGTCAGATACGCTTAGTATCAGATATACTTGCTTACATTCATGTCTCCCATATTTTGCTTAATAATGGGTTCAATGCACAAGAGTAGTGATGCTAGCGATTTGGATATGCCCAAGAAAAACCACAAAGTGCTTCCTTTAAGGGAACAGAGGAGTTACCGAGAAAAGAGAATGCAAGCTCCCTGCTGAGGTCGATGGGAAGATTGAATCCTTTATCCTGATATTTTGCAGAAGGGAAGAGAAATGCTTCCTTGTTCTGTTGTCCTGCCTTGCACTGTGAAGTCATGATCATAGTGTGTCGTCAAAGCTTGAGTGAGATAGAAAAGGTATTAATTTTGTGGGCAGAAAATGTGCATAGAAAGCCTCCACCTGGTTTAAAAACCACCCTGTCCGAGTGAGTATGTATAGGAAAGAAACCACTGTGCTTTTCCAAAGATAGCCTCAGTTCTACCTGTGATTTCAGAAGCCCACTAAAGGTCTTGGATAGATTCCCATGGATAAGATGTGACACCGCTGTGGTTACTTATCAAGCAGAATGCTGTTGGTCATTGAGCAGGAGTTCTTGGTTATGCTAGCTCTCGGGTACTGGTTCTCTGTGGCACCGGGGAGAAAGGGTCTTTGGAGGAGACCTGTGAGAGCAGAGGAAGTATTTGACTGTCACTCCACTGATAGGTGGGATGACTCAGCAAGGCAGAATCTGGCAGGCGATTGGGCCCATAACCTTGTTCCGCATCTCCCATCGTTTCTTCCTTCTGTCCTCATCGCCTCACCTGGCTTTGGCGTTGCTGCTAGCAACTGGAATCGAATCGCTAGAATTGTTCTGGAAGCCCATAGAAATCTGACCACAAAGTGTACTCCTTGCCGTTGGAGCTGCCTTGTTACAAAATGAATTCCTTTGCAGATGAATAGAAGGCTATTGCCAAGCAGCTCTGGTCTCTGCCATCAGCCAGCTTCTCAAGTCCCAGCAGCTAGCTTTATCGAAACAGGCATGGTCGGTTATATGGCAGCTCCAGGAGTACTGTTGGTTTTGATCTTGACTTTCTTATGGACTTTTCTGAACTGAGAGAGGGCCCTCTTGATGGAAAAGTGCTTCCCGGGAGGAAAGCGGGGGTGGGTCGCCGCTAAGTGCCTGTTGCAGCATATTTGCCATTGAGGGTTGATTTAGCAAAAAAGAGATGGCTGGAGCATTGGTCAGGACTGCACAGAGACTGAAGTGGGTTAATCGGCTCAGACTGGTCTCATGTGGTAGCTGACCTAGGTTGGTGCTGCTGGACAGTCATGGCTGGGGAAAGTCATAAGCCACGAGGCACTGCCTCTACTTGTCCTAGAGTCATTTGGATGCTCTTTATTCCTCTGATGGCTCTTCAGCCACCTCCTTTGGTTGCTTTGTGTTTACGCATGCTCCCATGTATGTGTGCATGCATATGCATGAGTGTGGAGACTGGAAGTCATTGTTGGCTGTCACTCAATCACTTCCTGCCTTATTTTTTTTGAGACAGGTTCTTCCATTGAACCCAGGGCTCCTCAGTTTGACTAGACTGACTGGCTCTCAAGCCCCATGGATCCCCCTGTTACTGGCCCAGCATGGGGATTACATGTTACATGGCCCAACATGTGCCTACCGCACCAAGTTGTTTTATATCAGGGGTGGGGATTGAACTCAGGAACTTATGCTTGTACAGCAAGCACTTTGCTGCTAAACCAAGGCCTCGGTGCCAGTCTTGAACCTCCAAAGGCCCCAGATTTTAGCTTTCCCCTGGAGAGTCTTGATTATTTAGTAAGAAACTTCTTAAAATGGGAAGGACTGCCAAGAAATGGGATTTATGTTCAAAGACAGACTGAGAAGAGCCATTCTTTCCAGCGGAGTTCTGGGAGTGCGCATAAATCTACCAGCAGATGTCTCTGTCGCCCACTCACAGGAATGTCAGCACTCTCAAAGCTGGGACCGAACTGGGTGACCTTGCTGTGCTTTGCTTGGCTTCCACTGACCCTGAGTGTGTGCGTGTGTGTTCATACAGACACACTTAAGTGAGTGTGTACACCTTTATTGTAGAGTGAGTCCCCAACCCCTTGGCTATCTATTTCCTTGCCAGAGTCCTCTTTGAATGCCGAGGAACTGCAGCACACTCCCCGTTCACTATTTCAGCTGCTGGCATAGAGAAGTCTGGTAATTTGTCCACTCCTCTGAGGTGACTCTTGGGCGCTGTTATGACAGTAGAGATAGGTAGGGGTTGTCATTTGTTCCAAGCCTTCCTACTGGTCTCCAGCCAAGCAGAAAAGGGCAGTTCCAGGTTGTTTGGGGATGCTGACTCCCTGCCAGCACTGAAAGCAATATTCTGCTTTACTGTTACTGAAAAGCTGTTTTAGAAGCTTTTAATTAAGGTGTGGCCAACCTATTGCCCGGAGGACACATGTGGCTCAGAATAGCTATAAATGTGGCCCAACACAAAATTGTAAATTTATTTAAAATATTATGAGGCATTTTTTTTAAATTAACTGCACATTTCTCTGAGCGTGGACTTTGTAAACAGTGTGCTGTGGTGTCAAAAGGTTAGATGGACCTAAAGCCGTTTAGGTGAAGGAACCAACTGGTGAGAGCCCATTAGAAACGCATTCAGGCCTTGCAAGCATGAAGGCCTGAGTTCGAGCCGCAAGAACCCACAGTACAGCCAGATAGAGAGGTGCACTCTTGTAGTCTCAGGGCTATCGTCAGATCTGGGGATCACAAACCAGTCAGGCTAGCTTACACACAAAGCTTCAGGCCCGTGAGAGACCCTGTCTCAAAGAACAAAGTGGATCTCACCTGAGGAATGCCCCTGAGATTGTCCCCAAGTTTCTACACATGAATGCGTATGTGTGTGTGCACTTGCACACACACAGACACCTGCACACATGAACATGCACATGCATGCATGCCCAAACACGTACACACTATAAAAGATGTATGGGAACGAGAGTAGATATTGAATGTGGTGTATGTCACATCTTTAAGAAGAAGAAGATACTGAAAACAACCCACAACTGCATCTCCAAGATAGCCCAAGAGAAATTAAAAATATATAATTTAGCAATAAATTAAAAAAAATTACTTGGCTGGCTTAGCATCTAGACCATCAGGATGTCCTGTCACTGTCCTTCCCTCCATAGTTTTATATGACTCCTAAAACCTCCTCACGCCGTTCTCCTTAGCATCTTCCTGCCTTAGAAGAGAGACAAACATGGTCAGTTATACGTTGTTTGTGACCTTGAACACTGAAGGTGCTGGCTAACAGAGGTCTTTGCTCATCTGTACCTGGGGTTTGGTTGAGTAGCCTGGCAGTGTTTTTGTTTTGTTTGTTTTTTAAAGAGATTTAGGAAGTTGTCCAAGAAACAGACTGGCATCCAAAATTAAGAACCTGTGAGTGGATGATTTGGCATCTGAAACAGACAAACAAAACAAAGCAAAAAAAAAAAAAGAAAGAAAGAAAGAAAAAGAAAAGAAAATTTAAAAGGAAACAACAAGAATAAAATCCAACCCAGGGTGATGCATACTGCGCCATGGTCCCCAGGTGACTTGCCCACCCCTGCAAGGTAGAGGTTGGATCACTGATGCCCCAATCACAGATCACATTCTGATCTTGTTTCAAAGTGACCCGAGCCTGAGAGAGGTTTTTGCAGATTCTCCTCTCCCCTTGATGCAAGCACTCTTGGGGATTCGTGAAAACAAGTTGTGAGACCTTCCTGTGAGTCTGTCAGTAAGTGTGACTCCCTGTTGCTTCTTCACAGCTCTCAGAGGGTGGCAACGAGAGGCTGGAGCTCCCCCAGAGCAGGCAAAACGACTCCTTCGAGGATCCCAGGACAAGGTCTTACTCCCTGACGATCCAGAACACTACTGTCTGCAGCTCTGGTATCTACAGGTGTGCCCTGCAGGAGCTGGGAGGGCAGCGCAACTTCAGTGGCACTGTGGCTTTGAAAGTGACAGGTGAGCTCACTTGGCTTTTCTTCCCACAGACTGGGGGTGTGCTTTCTGTGTGCCCCAAAGTCTCTCCTCTTCCAGAATCTGACCCTGCAGCTTAGGAAAACATGTTGGTTGGAAACCAATTCCTCTGAAGGACAGCATGATTTTTTTTTTTTCTCTATGTGGCTTAATCTATGCATTGACTTTTGCCCGACATTTGCAGGCACTAAGGCCAGAAATGACAAACATATTGTCACTCAGGCCCTGGTTTTGCACTACAGTTAGACTTTCCTCATGTCCCACATCTTAGAACTAAGTTAATAATCTTCACATCCCAAGCCCATGAGCACTCTTTAAAGAGCCAGCCAGCATTTGTACTCTGCTCACTGCCGCCCCCGCCAGACACAAAGACCTCACACCCTTTTTAACACCCAGCACTCTGCTGTGGTTTGCTTGTCTTTGTCCACTTGCCATGAAATGAATGGAGTAGCTAAATATACATCTTCCCCAGGGACAAGCTAGTCTCTGTTCTGTGTTTCTCGGTACGCAGTAGGCCCTCAACAAATATTCAAATGGATAAGAAATGAGAATAGCCCGGTGAGGGAGAGTTCTGGGGGACAGAGAGGAAGTGAAGAGCATAGCAGATTGCCTTCCATCTTCTCTTCAAACGCAGTGTTGCCTCCAAGTTAAGGGCCAGATGGAATGAATTGCTCTGATCTAGCTCAGATGTTAACGCTGACACTCACTAGTGCGTGGCTGTTTTTGCTACTGTTTTAATCTAAGCCTTATCTCTCAAATGGGGCCTGTAACATCTGTATGTTGAGTTTGTTGTTGAGTTTAATGAGATATTACACTAGGTAATTTACTATTTAATTTAATATTATGTAATTTAATATTACGGTGCCTGAGGTAGATAGAATACTCAGTCGTTGTTAGGGTTCCCTAAGATAACGTCTCTCAACCTTTTCCATTGAGTTATAGACCCTCATGAGAATCTTTTCCTAGACCATGCATTACATTTTGGAATCTAATCTCAGCTCCATAAGACTCAAGGGAACAATTTCTTGGAATCGTCTGCCCGCTGCCTGTCCCTGCCCAGGCGGTGAGCCAAGCCCATTGGCAACCTCACTGCAGCGCAAGCCAAGCATCAGCTACTGTCTGAATGAGACACGGCCCTTCTCTACTACTGTTCCTGATTGGGGCCTCCCTTCTGCCCTCCTCTAGTGTCATAGCCATGGCCTCAAACATCCTGAGAGAGTTCGTCCTTCCACCACATGCTGCTGGCCTGCTCTAAGAACCTCAGTTGAGGGACTGGGGAGCAGTAGAATGCTCAGTGTGCATGCAGGAAACCCTAGGTTCAGTTTGAAGTGCCAATAAAACCCAGGGATGGGAGCACATGCCTATAATCTGGGCACTAAGAAGGTAGAGGCAGAAAGATCAAGGAGCTCTGAGTCACCTCTGTTGCATGGTGAGTTCAAGGCCAACTTGGGCTACATGATACCCTGTCTCAAGAAGACAGATAAAACAAAGCTCTGGATTTCTTGTACAAGAACAGGCAGATTCCCAGTTTCATTTTCTAGTTTGAGTGCCCTCAAATTGTGGTCATTCACCCAAGAGTTCACCTAGTCACAGGAAGTTAAGGTAGTTCATGACCCTGGAAGCTCAGCAAACATCCTACTCATCCCGTGGGCGTACAGCCAGAGCCATGTGAGAGCAATCACTCAAGACTTCAGTCAATGCCACCACAGCCGGTCTTCCCTGAACTGAGGGCAGGGATGGACACATTAGGACTAGAGGAAGCAGGAGTGGAGCAGGGTAGATGAGTTCTCCAGTGTCTTTATAGGTTCCTTTTCTTTCTTAAGGATGCCCCAAGGAAGCTGCAGAATCTCTTTTCCGGAAGTACAGGGCTGAAGCTGTGCTGCTCTTCTCTCTGGTCATTTTCTACCTGACGCTCATCATTTTCACTTGTGTAAGTACCTGTTCAAAACACCTGTGGCTGTGACGCGGTCCCTGGGGTCTGACTGATTCCTGTAGGTCTTGTAGGCCGTGTGAATCGTTGAACGCTCACTCACTAAAGGCTGGACATTTGAGGCCTCCACGCTGGGAAGTGCTCTGGGATCCCTCCAGCTTGCTTTTGGTTTAGTGAGACACGTGGAACGTTGTGTCAAGCCTGTGTAACCTAGGTGGGGTTGTGGAGGAAAGTCTGAAGCATCCCATGGAGGCCTGAAGGATTTGTGATCACAATGTCTTCATCCACCACCTTGGGGCAGAGGCCTTTCTCTTGCAGCTTTGATCACACTGCTCTGGGTTTGTTTTCTCTTAGTGGGTCTGCTTACGTTTTCAATACTTTGCATCCTTTTTAGGACTTGATCCTAAGAAGTCAGAACACTGGGGTACCCAAAAGGTCCCCTCTGGAGTGGGGGGTGCCTGGCAGTACTGGGGCATTCCTGGCATGCCCTTTAGCTATTTATTGGTCATAGGCTCCAGCGGGAAGTCCCTTAAGCCCATTTTTGCCTAGCTATTCACATGGACTGACTATGGAACTCATGGAACAGGGCCATCTGGGACTCTGCCCAAATGGGAAACAACCGTCTCCATATGTCTCAAGGCCACCAGGACTAGCTGCACGGGGAGCAGGATAGACTCATCTTGGAGCCATTGCAGGGATGGTTATTGTCCTCTCATCTACCATGTCCTTGTATCCAGCTGCTTGTCCCTTTTCCTGTTTCTGATTTCTATTCTAAAAATCAATCAAAATCATCGCATCATATCCCATAACTATATAAAATTATTATAAGTGAATAAAGATTTCTGTCAGAAGCTTATTTAAAAAACCAGAACAAAATGAAATACTGGTGTTTCATAATCAGTCAAAGGTGAAAAAGTGTATTTTTGCAATATCATGACTTTGAAATGAATTGTTGAGGAATATACTAAGATTTTTTTTCCTGGATGTTATCAATTTCTCCAAGAATGATTACATTAGTTAATCTGAAGAGGGTTCTTAAGGTATATGTATTTTTGGTGGTGCTATCAATAAATGTAGAACTTTTCATAAATGTGATTTAAATAAAATAGAGGCTTTATTTTAAATACTTTTCCAATAAAAAGCAAACATATACAATAAAGCAAAAGACTTCCATGAGAACCCACTGTGTACAAAGCATCCAGCCAACCACTGCATGGGATAGACGTGGTGGATACGTCCCCGGCCTCCTAGAGCTTGCAGTTTGGTCAGTAGTGCTGTCTGTTCATAAGAAGATAACCAGGATGGTCAGACAGTACATTCAAGATGGCTGCCTCTGGTTTCTTGCTGGCAGCTATCTGCTTCCACAGGAACTGGCTTTCCACATTTGGGGCAGCAGGAGCTAGAGAGCACTGCACTTGGAAATCCGTGAGCCTCCTGGTGAGATTTGGAAACATCAGGGAAGTGGTACTTATAGGTTGTAAAGAATGAGGGGTGGTGAGTATAATAAGTGCTTCCAAAATGAGGTGTCCAGATAGCTCTTGGGGGGTGGTGTGACAACTGCCAAGTTTTCCCAATAACTATTTCTCAAAATCTTTTCATTTTGCTTTTTACAGAAGTTTGCACGACTACAGAGTATCTTTCCAGATATTTCTAAACCTGGTTCGGAACAAGCTTTTCTTCCAGTCACCTCCCCAAGCAAGCATTCGGGGCCAGTGACCCTTCCCAAGACAGAAACAGTATGAGTAGGGTCTTTGCTGGTTTTTACAAAGCCAAGCACATACCAGATCAGTGTGCCTGAATGCTGCCTGGACAAGAGAAGAATGAGCCCCACCCTCAGATGGCAACCTTCCTCCGAAGTCCTTAACCTGACAGTGGGTTCCACACTACTTCCTGCCACGGGGTCTTGAGCACCATCACATGATCATGAAGCATGGGGCCATCACTGCTTCTCTATGGCTGTCAGCTTAGTGTTTCATGCAGCTATCTGGTCAACCTCTTCTATGCTTTTCCAGTCATGTAAAAGCTATGGTGAGACGCAGGTGGAGCAAGGACATGGGAAATTTGAACACTCTGAGCTAGTCTTGTGACAGACTCCCAAGGACAGCTGTCCTCGTCCACATCTGGGATACAGCTCTTTGAATTTGTCCTGTTTGGTTGCACCAGTCCAGATGTCTCATATCTGGCAGAAGTTGACAGGCCAAACTGTGAGCCAGCGGGAAAGATTTAGCAAATAATTTCCCAGTGCGAAGGTCTTGCTATTAGTAAGGAGAATTATGTGTACATAAAAGTGAGAGGTCAGTGAACTGTTCCTCAGCAGGGCCTTTTCATCTGGGAAAGACATCCATAAAGTGGCGATACAGAGGGAAGCCACATTTATTTTTTTTAATCTACATGTACTTGTAAGAGAAGAATTTTCATGTTTTTCAAAGAAGTTACTTTTCTTTAAAAAAAAATGATTGTCTAGTTGGACAGCATTGCTAGCTGGCAAGCAGTCTGAGTGAATATGCAGAGTGTCCCTCAGAGTAGGGACAACAAGTTAGAAGCACCGTACAGTGTCCTGCTGCAAAGTGTGGACCATGGACTGTGCTACCCAAAGTCTGGTCACAATTGTCCAAGCCTGCCTGTATGATCCTGGATGAATCACTTGTGGCTTTCACTTTCTGGCTTGTAAACCAGATGGTTTTTGTCTGGGTTGACTAAAATGGGTGCAGAAATGCATCAGGAAAGCTCAAGATACTGTACGCAGTGGCAACCCCACTGGGCTGTTATTCTTGTTGATATCCTAGAGTTCGGGAGGTAGAGAACGCTGATCGTGTCTCACCTTTCCCATCAAATCCAAAGGAAGCTATAAAGAGGATGGAACGTTACCATGTCTTCCGTGTGAACTCTTCCTGAGAATGTGGAGACCGGCTCTGCGTTTTGTTCTTGAAGGACCAATCACAAGTCCTTGAAGATATGGACCTACGGGACCCACTGGGCCATGGCAGGAGGGAGTTCTCAGATGTTGCACTGATGTGACATTGTCGCGTTTCTTTAATGAACTTGTCCCCTTCCTCACTTGCCTCCCCAAAGAAATGTTGTCCCTTTGGTAATGTGCGCATCACCCACACTAACATGAGAGTGAAAAGCAGTGTTGAGCTGACCCAGTGTTTGCCTCTTCCTCGCCACTTTCATGCTATTAAAGGCGTGCATGTGAGAAGAGTGTTCTCTTCTGTCTTTATAATGATGCAGACTTTGGGATGTGTGCTTGAATGCTGATTGGGGAATAAGAATGTGGAAATGGTACTGGAAAAGGTCAGGCTGATTTCCTGAGTCTGGGGCAGCAATGGGGGACAGAGGCATATGGCTGGCAGACCTCTGTGACCTGGCATTCCTTCTTCCAAAGTCTACCTATCCATCCTGGAGCTGCATCCCTACCAGCTAATACAAGGTTAGCTTACCCACCTATGTGGCCATGGTGGAGGGAGGGACCGGAAGGGAGGATCTTCTAAATGATGTGTGAAACTGGGGGCCCTCATCTTGGGATTCTTTGGGTTTTATCTGAGGTTTTCAAATAGACACCTAGCCCTAAGCTGTCAGGAAAGAGTTATACAAAGTGCTGGTGGTGGCTGTAAATGCATCATGGGGAGAGGCTCTTTGTCCAGATGAATACATACTAAGTATCTGTCAAAGTTGTAGAACCACTTGGAATGGATTCAGGTCTGTTGTCCAGTGCTTTCCAAAAGCACAAGGCAACTTTGTATCACATCAAGAGACTCAGGCCTCTCATCCACCTAAAGCTATGCCACCTCAATCAGGAGATTTAGAACTGTTATTGTTCTGAGGACTGAGCGAGGTGTCCATGGAGGGGCTCGGTGTCTAGCAATGTTCAGATGATAGGAAAACAAGAAAGGAGGAAAGGGGAGGAGAAGAAAGGCCAGTGCCCACAAATTTATGGCAAGCTCGTTTTATTAAAAGGAGTAAATTGTCTTGCTGGCTGTTGCATGCTGCCTTCTGAGAATTAACACACAGTGAAATAAACTCTCCATAGTCATGAGAGCTGTTGTGTGGAGACCAGAGAGGAGGGTTGCCCTTGTTGCTTTAGATAGACCTAACTAGAAACATTATTAAAATTTGATAGCAGGTTGGCTCCAGTGTTTCATGCCTAATGTTTAGTGTTAAAAATTGTGTGTGTGTGTGTGTGTGTGTGTGTGTGTGTGTGAGGGAGAGAGAGAGAGAGAGAGAGAGAGAAAGAGAGAGAGAGAGACAGAGATAGATAGATAGAGAGAGAGAGACAGAGAGAGAGAGAGGGACAGACAGAGAGAGACAGACAGACAGAGAGAGAGAGACAGACACACAGACACACAGAGGTAAAGACAAAAGGAGAGGGCAGGAAGCGGTATGGAGGTGGAGACTTATGCAGGCAATCCCAGATGGAGCAAGTTAAAAGCAGAGGTGAGTGGCAAGCACATTATCTCGGGTGGTCAGAGCTACGGCTCAGCACTGATGGATCCACATCAGTTTGTGGGGCCACATTATCGGATCATTTGGGGATAATAGCCAGGAAAACAAGGTGAGGAGTAAACAAAGGAGCTGGAGGAGATGTGTGGTATCAAAACCACCCGGCAGGCTGCAAGCTCAGAGCGGCACAGCGCCAGTAGAAAGGACAGGAAAGATGGGGACCTTTTAAAAAGATTATTCATTCATTGTATATGTATGCTTGCATGTACATGTGGAAATCAGATGTCAGAGGTCAGTTGCAGGAGGTAGTTCTTTCCTCCCACCAAATGGGGTTTGAACTCATGTTGTAAGGCTTGGTGACAAGGGCCTTTGATGGAGGAAGGTCATTGGCTAATAAAGGCACGGCCCTGGCCCATTTTATTGGTTGAAAGATAGGTGGGAGGAGTAGGCAGATCAGGACGCTGGGAGGAAGAGGAAGTGAGCTCAGACTCCACAGCTCTGCTCTCCGGAGCAGACGCCTCAGAGAGACGCCAGGCCCCGCTCCCGGGATGAAGCTCCGACCCAGGATGGACATAGGCTAGAGAATCTCCCCGGTAAGCGCACCTTGGGGTGCTACACACAGATGATTAGGAATGGGCTAAATTAATATGTGAGAATTAGCCTAGAAGAGAATGGGCCAAGCCGTGTTTAAATGAATACAGTTTGTGTGTTGTTATTTCGGGCATAAGCTAGCCTAGCGGGCGGCTGGGGAGCTGGGGTGCTGGGGACGCGGCCCCGCCGCCCCTAATACTACATATGGCGCCCACGTGGACAACTGCTTCCACATAAAGCCTGAGACAGCTTGGAAAGTAATTCTAGAACAAAATGAAAGCATTGTGCCTGGTTTCTTGGTAGCAGCAATTTCTCGGTTCTACTCTGCTTGCTAGAGGCAAGCAAGCGCCTCATCTAAGAGAGGCTTCCTGACTCAGCTTTAGCTGCAAAGCCTGCAGCTCATTAAGAGGTCCTGCCACGAAACACTTAAATGGTGTTGACGAAAAGCTGAACGCATGCTTTTCAATTTTCAGCCGTAGCAGGAAAAAAGCTGCGCCGTTTAAAAATGCCGGCTTTCTGGGCTGTCCTGCCAGGACAAACTCTGACTCTTTTACACAGGCGGTTTGTGCGGTATGCAAGCACAGGCTTCTGAAGCTCGCTTGATGGCAGGGACCTTGAAATGCCATACAGTTGTTGCAGTAAACAGGGCTACAGCCTGTATATCTGCCCTGAGGCTGGAAAGCTAAGGAATGGACTGGATCTAGCTGGCAAAGCCACGCCTTTAATCCTACTGATACTGCTTGGTAAATTAAAGACTCGTGTGGTCAGAAAAAGAGAGATATACAGTAAAGAGAGATTCAAAGACAAAGAAAATTTTTAAATGGTTTAAAGTGTGTTAAAAATATATGCAGACTAAAAGTTGAAGTTCTTAAAGTAAAAAACAAAAAAAGGAAGAGAGTTGTTGTGTGTGGTAACACACGCCTTTAATCCCAGTGCCTAGAAGGCAGAGACAAATAGATCTCTGTGAGTTCAAGGTGTAGTAGTGTACACCTTTAATCCCGAATGCCTGGGAGGCAGACACAGGCGGATCTCAAAGAGTTCAAAGACAGCCTGGTCTACAGAGTTACTTCAGGTCAAAGATACAGAGAACCTGTCTCAAAAAGCAAAAAGTTAAAAGTAAAAATAAACGAAATAGAGGTTAAAACAAAGCTGTACAAAGATGGAAAATAAACAGAGAATTTTGATACTGTATGCTATTATGCTCTCTTTAAATTGTTTGAATGCTGAGGAAGGAGCAACAGCTGCTAAAAGATATTTATTTATGAATGCTGCTGAACTAATCCAACATAGATATTTTGAATTTGGATATAAGGACATGATACTTTGGAAAGGAGTTTCTTATTTTGTTTTCACAGAGGATGAGACGCTGTTCATTTCTTCTATTCCGATTTGGTATGATGGACCACGCCCTCCTGAAGGGTTGGTGTGAATGCCTTCAAAAAATTGCTTCGCTCAACTGCCAACTGAGATGAAGCTAACACACAGGTTATACCATGAAAGACCTAATTAACGACGCCCCCATTCAGCAGGAAGCAGTTTGGAGAGAAATAACTGCGCCCATATTCCCAAAATATGTTTATAAATGTTCTTTTACATTTAAAGGGGGATATGATATAGATATGAATAATTTACATTAGTATAGATTTTGCTTTATTGATAGAGATTTAAGGTCAATTTTGTTATATGTATAAGTGTTTCTGATTTTGATTAAGGTATTGTGATTGTGTAGTTCATTTAAATATGTACTGTATAATTAAGAAATATAGGTTGTTAATGGATAATCATCGATAATAGTAAAGCTTGTAGTCATGTTAGTTAGATTTTCTAGATATATAGAGATATATTTTAGATAGACATTCTTCATGTCTTTCAAAGATTACAGAATAGGACATTTAATGTTTTAATAACTTAGGAATTTTCATGACAATGAGACACTCTGCTCCTGGCAGCACCAATGTACTTCAAGAGGAAGATGGGCATCGAAGAGGCACCTTATGAAGTTGGATAGCCATTTGGGCAAGAAACTGCTCTTGCCTGGACTATTGCATAAACTGGACACAGAGAACCCGCAGAGAGAGGACTACTGAACTTGCCTAAGGTGAGATGATCTTTCGGGGTTCCTGATTCATGAAAGAGTCTGCGAGACATTCTGCAGGACACAACAGATAGTGAATGAATTGACTTTGAAATTTCCTGCTTTGTGGAAATGTCTGCTGGAAACTATGGGCCTGAAGGCTGAAGATGGATGCCCCAACGGTACAAAAGAACTTTGGGTGACTGTCCAGGCAGCGAGATGTTTTTGTCATTTCTAGACTTTGAAGTTTCTTAGTTCTTGTTTACTTAGGTAATATATCTTTCTGGAGTGTTTGATGGAGTTAAGAATAGTTAGTTATAGTTATAGTTTTCCTTAGTTATGATAAAGATTATTGTAACTTTTATTTGATAACTGTTTTGTTATATGTAATTTTGCTATGTTAAAGCCTTTTTTTTTTTTGTTTAAACCGAAAAAGGGGAAATGATGGAGGAAGGTCATTGGCTAATAAAGGCACGGCCCTGGCCCATTTTATTGGTTGAAAGATAGGTGGGAGGAGTAGGCAGATCAGGACGCTGGGAGGAAGAGGAAGTGAGCTCAGACTCCACAGCTCTGCTCTCCGGAGCAGACGCCTCAGAGAGACGCCAGGCCCCGCTCCCGGGATGAAGCTCCGACCCAGGATGGACATAGGCTAGAGAATCTCCCCGGTAAGCGCACCTTGGGGTGCTACACACAGATGATTAGGAATGGGCTAAATTAATATGTGAGAATTAGCCTAGAAGAGAATGGGCCAAGCCGTGTTTAAATGAATACAGTTTGTGTGTTGTTATTTCGGGCATAAGCTAGCCTAGCGGGCGGCTGGGGAGCTGGGGTGCTGGGGACGCGGCCCCGCCGCCCCTAATACTACAGGCCTTTATCCACTGAGCCACATCTCTGGCCTAGGTTCTCAGTGTTGATATGAGACCTAGGTGTTGCAACTGTGTGTGTGTGTGTGTGTGTGTGTGTGTGTGTGTGTTGTATCTGTCTATCTCTGTGTGTTTTTAAATTAAAGTCTCCCTTCCCTTTTAAGACAAAATAGACTGGGAAAGTGGTCAGTCTTTCCATTTTTACCTGTACATTGCTGAATCATCTGAGGGCACAGAACATGCTATGTTTCCCAGCAGTTCTTCACGCTACTAAGCCTGTCATTGATGATATGCTTCAAGCTGGCTTTAGCCCTCATTACTCCCACTTCAATTTTTCTGTCCTAGAAAAATATGCCTGGTGTCCATTCTCCTTATATAACATGTTATTTATTATGCCTGACCAGCTGTCTTCTAGAAGACAGCATGTATCATCTGAGTTCTTTTGGCTTATGTGTGTGTGTGTGTGTGTGTGTGTGTGTGTGTGTGTGTGTTTTCAATCATATAACTAATACCAGATTCCTTCTTGGTTCTCTGCCTTTTCGTTTCTGCTTAGCTGATTCCGTGTTGTGCAATTCCTCTTTATTTTTTAAAAGTAGCTCAATCAGAGTGAACACACTAACTAAGTATGATGATAAACCCAGTGACACCTTCTGGGCTGTGTGATGGGTTGTGCTGGGGAATGAGTACGAATGTGTGATGGGGAAAGGAAAATACAGTGCAGCCGCATGGCATCCAGCATCGCTCACTGCTCAGAATGTCATACATCACACGTAGCCCCTCTGTCCATCACTGTCCACACATTTCGCTTGTGCACCTCTCTTCTCCTTGCCTCTCCTTTATGTCTTTCTCCCCATGAGATTTCAGGCAGAACACAGCTAGGTCACGTGGGACTACCAGGAAAACAACATCTAGGCTGGGTAGATCTGCTTCCATGGTTCCTGAGAAGTTCGCGCGAGGGAAGAAGGTGGAAGTCAGGTACCAAAGCAAGTCTTCCATTCTTTTCTCCTCTCAATATGTATACACTTACAGCATCCCTCTGGGCAGAGGAACTGGACCTCACTCACTGGCTCATTTAGATTCTGCATGTGAAAGGGATATTGTTTTTGCTTCTTTGTAAGAGGGACTACTTCTTCCAATTGACCATTTTCCCCCTAATGCTTTGCCAAAGTAGCCTGT